CTCAGTTGTTTTGATTTGAATTACCATTTTCATTGGACCGCTAAATATCGTTGGTCTGTTCAATTTCATCAGTAAACACTTAAAGGTCATATTAGTCACTGAAACCGGCTTGCAAACAGGTGAGTCTGAGAGGATCAGGGATTGTTTACGCAAGCTCGCGGTCAGATTTTTCACTGAAATACAGCGTGGCACCGCGACAAGGGAAAGCGCACAATCACATGTACGACTGGAGAAGTGAATAAATCCAAAATCAGGCAATGCGCGAAGATTGGGGACAGGATCTTTCTAACCCATCTCACCTCTATACAATTAAATGAATGCTCGTCAAACTCTTCATCGTGCTAAAATACAGAAGTGATTTAGTGTACCGTCTTTCACACCTTCATTCAGTCGCGTTCTAAAAAGGGTGGTGAATCGTGCTGACACCCATTAATTAACCCGATCGCACACACGAGGAACCGTCTGTTCATACACCCTGATGCGTGTTCTTCCCCTGCTACGCTTACCTTTTATCAGGTCATCGGTCATTTGTAATTTATCTGGCCACTAGTAATTTGTAATTTTATCAGTACACGCAGACTGCATTGATCAATAAACCCTTTTGCCCACTACACGACTTTCATGCACATTGTCGCGACAAGCACAACTCGGTTGAGGCATCAAATAAACGGTCATGTCTCCGCCACCCCTAGTCACACGTGTCTGCCCGGGGATACTGCGAAGCCCTCAACAAGGCGTGGTGGCTGAGGTGAGGCTCGAGGCCACACACTGCCACAAACTAAACCGGCTTCTTTCGGACTCGAATTATCCTTCACTTTAGTGAAGACGACCAATGCCACTGCACACTGTTGAGGGCCCCGGGATGTTGTCTAGAACTACGCCTAGGGCACTGCGACAATCTACGCCGAATACGTTACCATGTGTTCCCGCAAAAATAAAAACAGGAGTGGAGAAGGCACAACCGTTTACTAGACAGTTCAACCAAGTTGTGTCCATGTATTTTTACAGTTGAGTGGACATGTAAAAATGAACACAGGTGTCTGTAAGGTCACATGGCCAAAGAGGGTGGTGGTGGTGGTGGTACATTCAGAGGAATTAGTGAACCAGCGACCTCACGTGACTGACGGGCAGGTCGTGAAAGGAGGGGAAGTGTGCTGGAAGCTGCGAGGACTGGGTTTTTGGACGTGAATCAACCCGATTCACTAAAACACTTTCCTGAAGTTGATTCAATCCTTCAGTTTTTCAAAGTATGATTTGTTACATTTTCTTTGCTGCATGGAGCTTGTAACAGTTTGTTCGTGATTTCAATGTTTTTTTTTATTGATTTTTGGACTATTATTTTGATTGCGTATTATGCACAAAATAAACTTGTATCATGGGAAACGAGCTGACGAAAAAGATTGCTTCATTTTCATTCGTTTTTTTAATCAAGTCGGCGGTTTTGCGGAATCAGTCAGCTCTGTTATCTATTCCGTGGTCGGTTTGTTTTCTGGATGTCTTTTAATTTATGCAAATTTGTCTTGATTTCTTCTCAAATCCCTCCATTCGTATTTAATTATATCGACGAAACAAACTTGATGGTAATGACCAACCACTTCATCACTGCACATGAAAGTGTTTAAAATGGGGTTCTAGCTCTCTTAGTAAGGTTGATTGAATCATATTTTCAAATGACATCCAAAAACCTATGAGGACACAGTCGCTCACTCAACTACTCTGGGCGTGCTGTGGCATTTTGCACGTGGGTTTCTGAAAATGGGACAGTCGAGTGGACGGTGAGTCACAAAAATGCCAGTCCTCTTAGGGCAAACCTATTGGGGCGAGCTTCAGGTCGCACGCGTCCACCGACAGTCCACTACAGGAACATTCTCTGGGAATCATATCATACACCAAACAAATTAAAAAAAAGCTAATTTAAGCTCCGGGGATCTTATATTTAATCCCAATAACTTGATATTGCGATCGGCACTTTGTTGTGGCAACCTGGGCTTTCTGCATACATGTGCCTGTGTAAATCAGGTGGCAGGTGGGTTCAAATGTTTGAGATTCCCCTCTGCTGTGGCTTTGTTAATTTGGTTACACATAAATTTAAATTATATTCTTACAAATCACGTATGAAAATATCCGTTCCGAATTGTTTTAACTTGTGCGGAAATAAAGGCTTTGTAAAATCTTATTATCCTATTGCACATTAGACTGATGAAAATGAATGCTGATAACTTGAGTGAGTATTGCCGATATTTCTAACAGTTTAACCGAAACCGCTTCCTTTTGAGAACTCTACATGACCTCGGTTTTTCACCAAAAGAGCTCCCTGTTTTTGACCACTTTGTTGAGGTTGTGCCTGCATCTTTTCGACACTTTAATCTCCCAATTCCGGCAAACCCAAATTGAATGAGGGCGAGAGTGCTTCACACGAACATTACAACTCCTAGAATGGGTTCGGATAATTCGGTAATGGATTCAACTTCAAAAACCTCCACTTATAATTTCATGTGAGTGTGGTGATGCGTATATGTTATACCACTTTTTTGTAGTCCAAATATTTTGATCAAGACGGATGTAGACCAGCTTAGTGTTAGCGAAGCAATTTCACATGCACACATTACTTATTACCTAGTCGGTAGCAACTCAAGTGATGATTGCATTTTCACCGTTTTGACGGGCTAGTTAATCGTGATGTTCGTTCGCGTTTTCACGAACGATTGGCGGGATCCTGTTCAAGTTCTTGGTTCGATGACACATCTGACAACTTATGAACCGAAAGTACTTTAGGCACATATTTTATACTAATCTGAGATCGAGAACGTCACAAAATCCATACGCGTTCGGACACTGAACCTCGACAGAGGCCTTTCGAGAGGTTACTTCGTGGTGGTTTAGGTGGGGAGCGAATGGGGCTAACGCTCTGGCTGCACCAAAGACTCCATAATAGCGCCTCACTATCACACAACATTGCCGGCCCTGCTCCATTGCCGAAACCACAAACCCGATTTTTCCGCTAACTCACAATTTTGCAGAAAAGCCTCTTGGTCTAAAATTCAACAGCAGTTCAGGCCACTCACGTTAAGATGGAGTCGAATTCTTATCGATGGTGATTTCAGTTTGAGGGTCTTGAACCTCATTTAAGCAGGCAAACATGCTAATATGCATCCTTTTGTAACAGTATCCCACGCAGGTGCACCAATGTGCAGGTGATAGATGCACTCACATGAAAAAGGTCTAGTATGGTATTACATTTCAACGATTACTCGTGAAAAATTGTCGATTGCATTCACTAACAAATTTAGTCTTCGTGATAGATTTGGCCACGTTGAGGCCCGTTGGTTTTTGTATATATTTATTTGCTGAAAATGCAACGAACATAGCACCAATCAGACTGTGGAAAATGGCCACAAAGTTGATTTCTTGGTTAGGTATTTAGAAGGATGCTTCCATGTTGCTTTGCGAAATGGTTCATCTTCGGAGCTTAAGAAAAGGGGAAATAGGGGCATCACCAGGAAATGAGCACAACTGTTGTCCAAGGCGTAATTTTCAAATCAAATTTTGCGGATAACTCCACAATTTAAGCTAATTGTAGGCATTATCTATGAAATGCAAAGTACGCGCTTTCATAGAAATTCAAATCTTTCCTACATTGACTAATGGCAATACTAGAAAGTTGACACCATTAACCGTTTGACTTTAGCAAGCATGAGTAATCCTGCAAATCATGAGGCTACTCCGACAAGCGGGTTTTGGAAATTACATTTTTGGCTGGTGATCCAACAATGCAACCGAGGCATCTCAAACCACAAATATCCCAATCGGCATTTGGCCCCGAAATCTTGAACTAGCTTTTTTAAGATGGCATGATTCAGAAGACACCCGACCAGATAGATTCCCCAGGCTAAATGTTTGTGGTCTGGGAATCACTTCGACATTGCCCTTGGCTCCTGAGCCTATGACAGTCCGGAATCGAGTAGAAATTTTGTTCAATTATATACAGACACAGACATGGGGAAGTGGGTTGAGCCAAGCACTGCTCAATTTCAATGCATTCAGCTTATTTCTGAGTTCAATTTATGTAAAACCTAGCGTTAATTGAAGAGTTTCCACACGAGCAAGGTGGCACCTATCAGGCTTTATTCGTTCAAAGACTAAACTGTACCCAGTGTAAATCAGAGGTTTCAAACCCAGCTATGAATAACGACTCGCAGGCCCAGCCATCAGGAGGAAGGCGAAATTCGCCTAATTGTGGAGTGCGCAAAATTTGAATATTCCAGCGTGGAACTACTAACGAACTGGCTAGAAGAATGCGTTAACGATGGAGTGTCAACAAGTGGCGCACAATAGCAACGTGAAGCCGGTAGAGCACAAGAGGATTCCCAGAGGAACCTCGCCACCCAAGAAAACCTCCGAAGTCGGTTGCCTCTCAGGTGGTAAAATTGCAGAAAAATGCTTTTTTGTACAAATTACTCGAGAAAGAGAGAGAAGAGTTGGAGGAGGTAAAGGATCTGGGGAGACAGTGTGGGGCGCTTTCAAGAGTACACGAGAAGGGGCGATGTGAGGATGGCTGCTTGGAAATCATATTTCAGATGTGTCGTTGTGCGCATGCAGCCACCCGGGCCTTACATCCAACAAAACACAAGCGGCGGAAACCGGGATTTGAGCGACAGAGGTTGGATCAAATGCGCACGCGAGAAAATAAAGGCCAAGGAAAGAAAACAATCAAAGAAACAAGGTACACGCGTTTGGGGATATCACACATGCGAAGAGAGGGGTTAAATCACTTGCTCGCCGTTGTGTTGAGCGTGAGTGTGGGTGGGGTGTGATCGAGTCTTCCACCTTCACGAAACACACTAGCGTTGATGTTTTTTGTTGGTTTTCTACGTGACCGATTTTGGGAAAGAATCCTATTTGCGCTGGAGACTGTGGGTGGTGAGCGGAGGGTCGAGGAGCGAAGAAGCAAGAATGTCTCAGAATTATCGTGTTCCAAATCACAGAACGGGGCCGGATAACTACAGGAGCTCATACTGACGGAGGTGCATTCTTTGGATAATGTCACGGCAGTCGTTAAACACTCGTCGGATGTTCTCAGTGTCCACTGCGCAGGTCAGGTGGGGGTAACAGTAGTGACGGCCGTTATTGCTGTCCGCTGTTACCTTCTGCAAAGATTAATTCTGGCATTATATGACGTCATCATGCCCAAGCAAGTAGTCCAGTGGGGGCTCATCAACGACCCACAGAATCAAACACTGTAATGAATGGTGCGTTACAAATAATAAGAATACTACACTTAAATAGCAACATCTCTGCCACCTCGACATGATATATATGTTCATGATTTTTGTTTCAGTTATAATGCAGGGGAGTTGTTGTAGGTAAAGTAAGGAGGGGCGCAAAACTACAAATGTTGACTGACTTAACAAGTGCCACATTTCCTACGGAGACAGATTCCATAGAAGTGTTGCGAAGCGCACGTATCAAAAACAACAACAGCACAAAATCAGACTTTCGCGTCATCCAATTCGATTTGCAACGATTGTAGCCTTCCTGGTTATGACTTAAGAGGAGATGATGCGGAATCAACAGCTTGCTTGGTTTATGCACTTCTTCGACAAACCTCTGCAGATCTGACATTTAGTACCCGAGAACACCCACTCCCACGAGGAAATCATAAGAACACTAACTTCAAAGAACAAAAAGTAACACCCACAACAGATGCTACTTGTGCCTTTTACCGAAGAGAGGGTTCCGTGTGTTCAATCTAAGCTACATGGTAGTGCCTCAACAGCACAGTCACTAAACAAGGCTGGGTCGAATTACTCTAGTATTTAACTTAACTTTGGTAAAGCCCTCAGTTGGTGCTATCTCAAGGCGTTTCTGGCGTAGATGCCAATCCCACAAGTAGGTTTGGGCGAGAGTTAACAAAGAGAACCCACAAATTTGTAGGCGCGTGCGTGCATGTGTACAAGAAAGTGGATAGAACCACAACGCAGCAAACGCACACAAGTTGCCATGGTCACGAGCTCACCCGATTGGCCAATACAATTACATCATGAAGCTGACGCGCTAATTGGTTGGCGTAGCGCACGCACGTCTACGCGGAAACGGCGCCTTACGTCAACACCACGCGAACGCACGAATGTAAACGCAGCCACAGTTAAAGCCGAATTGCCTTTTTGTGTGCGCAGGCGTGAGTTTGTATGCGCTGTTTATTTCCGCTCGCACCAGAAAAAAGGGGCTTAGCGTGTGACTTAGAGAGCTCTTAGAGGGCCACAAAAGTCACCACCAACGTCCACTTTCCACGACTTGTTAGTTGTAGCATATGATGCATTCTGGGAGGCAATGCAATCGGGGTCGGCAAGTCAGATACACCGCGAAGGAAACTCGACATAAGCTAAACCGTCCCTTGCATAACACGTAAAAGTTGGGTGCAGGCGCTTGCTGATGAGATTTTACGACTCAGATTTCACGCGTTTTTAACACGCGAAGTTCATCGCTCAACAGAAGCATTTAGTCACTTACTGGTCCAGTATGAGTTGAATCCGATTAACCGGAACTTTTGTGAAGACAACGAACATCCCCAAGTGAGTTATTTAAAACGCATGAAATGAGTACAAAATCCTGGATTGGAATCCCAGGCTGATAGCCATTACCAAGTCAAATTCACTTGCATCTTGCAACAAACACGATGGCTAGGATTCAGAGTGCAATAAGACATATCTTATGGCAGAAGATTGGCGATTAATCGAAGTAAATTTGAGCTGCTCAAAAAGTGAATTGTGCATGAAATGTAGAATCGCTTACAGCATTGTTCTTGTGGGTCTCCACTCAAAAAACCAATAAAAACCTGCTAAATTTAACTGTTTTATAGGATAAACCAATATCACTACTCAGACGCGTTTTCGATCACTACACGCACCAAAGTGAAATCCACTGGAGCATGGCGAGTACGTGTGGCAGACACTTGTGAACACTGATGGGGAGGGGTGAGAAATCACGAGAACTTTGCGCGCCGGAACACTGTCAAACCGTCTGAAATTATGACGTTCTGAACCTCTCATTGGTGGAGAAAATTAAACAAATGGCGTTGTAATGACAAGTCCTCGTGTCAATCAATGCGGTGTGCTGCGACCATCGGCTGTTTTTGACTGTAATTAGTCTTTCTGAGAACTCGAGGGCCACCCACTTTAACGTGACCCTTCTCGAAGTGCGCTTAGAAAACGAAGCTTATTACAGACGGAACGGTTTATGAGAGCATAGCTGATGAGGACCGGTGATGGTTATAAAAATGACAGCCACAAAAATTCACGGGTTTGTAGCAGTTGGTGTTGAAGAACATTCAGCTCTGTATTAGTAATTGGAATGAAAAAGGAAAGCAGGCTATCTCGACGGTGCCTGCAAATCAAGAGTGCAACACTCACCAAGAATTCGTCCCGGAAAAAGAATTTGGCGCGGACAATTTCGGGGTCTTCATCGCTGTATTCGGCGAGAACTAGAGTAACACAATGAGAATGTTTACAATACAGCACAGATTCATCTCGCGCCGTTAACTTCTGATTATTTCAACAAGGCAACCACTGGTATATCATGCATAACAAAAAAATCTCTGAATTCACGGGTGATTGTAAAATTGCGTTACTAAATAGCCAAGTTTGCCAGTTTAGTGCAAAGTGAGGAGGCTAGTCCAATTAGCAGTAAACACAGTTTGCCAAATCGGTGGTGTTAGCGACAGCTTGGAACGATGTCTTAAAGCATGCGCAGAATGGCGAATTGTAGGTTAAAAATTTACTTGTCCAAACAGCATGTTAGAGTGGTGTGTTTTCAAGCCTATTACGTTAAAAAGAAATGCGCTAAGATAACGGACACTTGGGAAGACTATGACTGCAGCAACCCATTAACGGCGAAAGCAACAGAATGCAAAACCAGAACACAAGAAAAAAGCCTATGGAAATACCAAGTTGTTGAGAAATCTAATTGAGGCAGATCAATTCTAGCAGGGGCCATTTCAGATAAAGGCACTTGGATGGATGACGTGAAAGAAAGTGATGCTTGAGAAAATATACTGTTAGCGTCGTTATGATGATTAAGATATGGGGACGGAGGGAACAAGCGGGAGTGTAAATCTACCATTTTTCTTATTCTAAGAGGTCGATCAGCGTTCACTGAGGAATAATTGGACAAAGAACGCAATCAAGACCCGATTCAGGCTGGATTCACAACATGCAGTTACAATTCGTGCCTTCTTACACAAACGCTGACGTGCAGCGCTGCGATGTGGTAAAATTGTCCTTGAATGTAAAATCGCATACGACAGAATGTATATAGCATTCTGAAGCAAAGAGAGCCACCTAGAATGTTCACAAACACACACATGAACATCCAACATGTGGAGGAAACTGAGTGAGAACACTACATTGATCACGGGAAAAATGGGAGCCAGGGGAGGCAGACTGACACGGACCTCATCGCCTGCAACGCCCGTTACGCAAATACGCGCCAAGAAATTAACTTTCGACAAACTGGTTTTTATTTGATGCTTGGCGCCATCCATACCGTTGGGCCTGGAAAATTACAATATACAGTAAATAGGGAAATAAAAAGGCAACTAACATCACGACAAATCGTACGTTATGCCGTAATGATCGCTTAGCGTTTTGGCATTAGAAAACAAGCGGACGCTTCAAGTTCGTCAGAAACATGCTATGGGGACTTGAGGGGGTACCTTATCTACCTCATGAACAAGGGGCAATCACTTCCCTGAGTGGCGTTGCAAAGAGAAACAAAAGGTGACTTTGTTTTTTTACTGTTCAAGTCCAGGTTCTGTGCCCGAATGTGGCCCATTTGGACAAGTTGACCAAGGAGGCAAACTTAGTGAAGCGGTCTGAGCGAACGGACAGAGGGAAGCGTTACGTACAAACTACAGGCACAAACGACGAAAGGTACGCCTCGCACACAACGTTAACCCACAAAGCAATGCCATTGCAGCAGACACATTCCGAAGCTGTGTAGAATGTCATACATCACTACAGACGGGTAAGAGTGGCTAGGAGTGGAGAGCTGCATTGAATTTAGCGGAGTTGGAAGAGACAAGGGACTCCCCAGATCTGTCTTATACTCAGGTAAATAATTTTACATAAAGAACACCTCAGGCGTCAAACGTAGAGTAACGTTCAAGTTTACTGGTACAGTAAATAAGAACATTTAGTTAGCCAATTTTTTTCTAGTTTAAGATAGGTGTTAAACATAACAAATACAATAGCTACGGTGACAACAAGTCAACCGAATTTTGCGAAAAACATGGTATATTATGGAGTAGGTGTGGACTAAACAGAGGCCAGCGAGGTCTGAAAAAGCAGCTAAAAGACACCTACACAACAACTGACACAGAAAAGTGAATCCAGAGAAACAAACTACAAATCAATAAGCTGAATAGAGTGGCCCTGATTTATACGAGAGCATGGAGACTGCTGCTGCATTGCTGTAAAAGAGAAACGCTGACGTGCAAGAGCAGATTACAACATGAAAAGTGCACAATATAGACGGCCATAGTTGATCCACGCAGGTACAATGGTCCACGCTCACGAGGTTCAAATAAACACTTAAAAAAGGTACCTTCTGAACGCAGATCTGGCGAATGAAGGAAGCACCCGTAGCCTCGAGATATTCGCATATAAAAACCAAAGCCAAGCAACGCAGCAACGACCATGAGTGGGCGGAAAGCAGGGGTGAAACAGGATGCACCGTCACTTTTTGCATATTCATACCGAGGAAACTGCCCGGGACCCAAGCTACTACATTCCTTTACATTACCTGCAGGATGCTTCGTCAGTCCAAGCGAGGCAAAACAAAGCAGTCTACCAGGCGTTACTTGATAATCAAATTGCTCCACAACTGACGTATTTTATAATGAAAAATAAGAAGAGAATCAGAGTGCACCTAATTGAGATCCAGATTTTGGACCACGTTAAATTCCTCTAAAGTCTCAGCTACAAGGAAAATCAACAACGCTGGAACAAAAAACTCATTAATCACTTATAACAAAACAATCCAGCAGATCAAATTTTGTCTAAGTAGCAATTTCGTGTAAACTTGGATAATCAGACTCAAATGGAATGCCCTCAGAATGTCGTGAAGTCTACATGAAAAGAACCGCTTGATTTAAGACATTTCATCAAACAAAGAACCCACAAAGTAAATGGGAAGCAAAATGAGGAGAATTAAAAAAACTGTTATTGAAGTAGCAGAAAAAGGAATACCGCAACACAGGAGATTAGAAAGGAAATTTACAGGCAAACGGAAGCACACAGTAAGTAAGTGTTTGAACCGAAGAACTGTGATGTCAGAAAAGGCGCACATGTTGACATCGCAACTGAAGGATATGAAAAAGTAGAAATTACGCAAGCAGGCAAGTGCAAAAAAGGTGTCCAGCGACCACAAGACATCAAAAGCAAAAAGAGACCAAGTTTACTTTCAGATGGGAGGTAAATTTGGTCCAGACTAAAGTAAACATACAGCTCAACAGCTCTTCTTGCGCTACAATTTTTCATTGACAATGTCCACGAAGAGCAGTGCTGTTTAAGTAACACACAGCTACCGCTTCAAGGCGGTTTTAGAAACAGTGAGAACAAGTTGCCATGCACTTATGTAATTCTGTTTCATCACACCCAATAAGAATGACCCCAACCCTGCCAATCCGGGTTAGAAAATCAGACTTGTCAGCTACACCAATGAACATACCGACTAGTACCGTCTGGTAATCACAATAGGGGATCAGAGGTGGGATGACACCAAGCAGTCTTCCAAGCATGAAACTTGTCAACTCCGCCGCAGCATGCCTACCTTAGACATGGCAAATACAACCACAGCTGACAAGTGAGCTTTAATTCATACAACCTATAATGACATGACTATCTTACCTAATTGTGTCCTTGTACAGGCTTAGGCCTTGCAAACACCACACTCCAAATTACTTAGCGCGTAAACTTCACTCATCAGAGGCATGCAACGTGCCTACCGAGTGAGGACCCGAATTGGGAGGTTACTATCCATCTGTTCCATAGGCCTAACCACACCATCAGGGTTGACAGAAGAGGAGTAGAAGAGGTCTTGTGAGTTGCAGACTACCGTATGCAAAAGTAGAGGGACTAGAGCGTAGGGAGAGCACTAGTGTGAAAACAGGGAGAGGATGGTCGTACTGGGGTCAGAGTTGACACGCAGGCCTAAAGGCGCGGATTCAGAAAAGCTGGGTGGCAGGAGGATACGGACGGGCAATGGACATGACAGGCTGGCGTGCGCTGACCGAATGGTGCGCGTCACAGGCAACTCAGTTATAGCGTATGCTGATTTCTTTTTTACATGTTAATGCCATCTGGCAATAAGGCATTCCAACCTGCAAAATCATCCCGAAGGCACCAGGAAACCACTGATCTGCATCTTTAACTATTTTTTAACGCTAGCGTATCTATAAGTTTAGCCACAATGTTCACATTCCAGGACTGATCTTCGAATTGGAGCGGATCCAACGTAAACTGACTAGTCATCAAGTAACCCAGGCTACACTATCCCACATGATAACGTATCCAGTCCACTGTGGTTATTTAGTCACGACTTTAATCAGAAAAGACATTGACACATGTAAATACGCACATTTATCCATAAAAGCTTCAGTTGCCAAATCGTGTGAATGTGAGTCAAACCAGACAGTAAAAGGCATTTGTGAAGCTCAAAATCAGGATTTGTACAGCAAATCCACGACGAGCGTCAGCCCCGAGTGTTTATTACGATAGTTGACAACAGCGGCCTATGAGGACGCTTCTAATTTTAAAGGGAAACAACTACATACCAAAGTGAGGTAGGTTACACGGCGCTAACAAGAACAACCCCCACAAACGACAACGAGATTCCCTAGGATAAAACACCACAACGCCATGAACTGCAAAACATGGCGTCCCGACCACACACCAATTTGATGCTGGATTGGGTTTTTATTAAAAGGCAACATCTTCAACAGCGAGAAGTAGGCTATACTGCCACGAAATTTGCAACTACAGACTTGCTTAATGCCTCATTCACGTTGAGGCAAGCCTTCGTTTCTTGTGACCAATCAGTTCACAATATCAAACTGTTGCCTGCAAAATTCACATGCATTTTGAAATTACGCGCAGGCTGCTTCTGTGGACAAGTAAGTTGTGTGACAAAATTAGCCATAAAAGGTATACAGAGCGAGCAGAACCAAATGGACAGTTGCTCAACTAAAAATGTCCTTTCGTCTAACCGAAGGTCGTAAGTTAGGGCTAGAACCAACTTTGCAAATATTACCCAAACCACGAAAGCGCCGCCTCTTCATTACACAACGTACTTGGACCTAACGATCGAGTACTGTACTGCATCAATATCCGTGAAACCAAACCAGGACCAATGGCTTTGAAACCGAAGCAAAAATGACAACTTGGACGTACCTCAGCACAATACTCATTCACTTGGGAATACACAAATGCGCTTAGCAAGTAAATGGAATCCCTTTCATCTGATACAACCAAAGGAGTCACGTCGTTAGCACGAAGTCACACTTTCCCAATGAAAACCACTTGCAAAAGACAAATGTCGTCCATTAATCTCTGTAATTCAACTTTTACCCAATTACACTTGTACGCTACACTCTTGTACATTTGCTCGATGCCTCCAGTAGACGACAATCACCATTCCCGACAAGTCATCTGTCATCAAATTGACCTCACGCTTGCAACAAAAGCCACTGCCATCACGTCCAATCATTAATGCCATCGCGTTAAACCAAAACCCCAAAAAAAACTACTCATTGAGAACATTCGATTTGTTGTAGAAGGAACTAAGGGTCCAAGTTCTACACCCTTAGGCTATCTTCATACAACACTCGCGAACACTAATTTCTCCAACTCACACTACCGCATCCACGCTACTACTTCAGACGCCGAAAACACATAAACACATGCTCGTACCGCTCCATAACTGCTTACAACTAAGTCATTACCTCATACAGCCATAACCTCTAGGAAATCACCGTGCATTAATGAAATGTCTGCAATTCTAACTAAAAATGTCAATAGCAATATTAACAAATCCAGTACGCTGCGTAAAGTAACAGAATGAATGTTAGTTCATGAGTGATTTTGATAGCACAATTGGGAAATCCGGGTTACGAGGGTCTTGATCAGAACTCACGCAGCACAGAGACAAATATACTGATTCACCTATGTCGATTCCATTGAATTATCGTCATTCCTGACGTTCTTACCAGTCGAAAAAGAAAACCACCACAAGAAAGGGAGGAGCACAATTTGAGCTGCCATTTCAGCGTAAGAAGACACACACACGCGCGCACTACACAAACACCTCAATAACGAATTAAGCTTCCACAAGTCATCCGGCTAAGGCACATGCCCTTCAATTCTCCGGTGCCGATTAGTGGCACGATAACTTCAACAGATCCCCGCTAACGGCCTGCTTCTGCTGATAACTCCTGCATAGTTTGGCACACTGAAAAGTAGGCTACATGGAGGTCCATCAACTGCCCTATCACCACAACGTGTGCCGACAGGTTGGTCCTTCATTTGACCGGCTACCATCATGCTTTGCTCGGTTCAAAAAACACAAGAGAATAGTGACGCTGTACGACCCTCGCTCAGCAATGCTACTAACCACAAAGCATTCTAGCCGACGGTCGTGCACAACTTGGAAAACAGACAACAGAGTTGTGGAGGTCGGAATTCCATTGCGTAATAGATCGCAAGCAAAAACGACGCAATTTAAGGTTTTGATAAGCGTGACCCACAGAGATTTAGTCAAGACTAACTCTTCCGCAA